GGGAACAAGGACAAGGCCTCTTCTGGACCAGCCCCTCGCAGACCCACTAGGGACTGGCCTGGCCTTGCCCATCTGCTCCTGTAGGCTCCACCAGAAACATGGAGACCTAGTACTCACACCTTTGTCCTGCACCGAGGACCTCATTTCCCTGCACCCTGCACATCTCCACCTGCCTCTCCGCACCCCCACAGTACCCTTCATGCCCCACGCACCCCCAGACCCCTGCATCCTTATGCACTCCTGCACCCCTCAGTCTCTATTCACCTCTGTACACCCTCATACCTCTGTTCACCCCACACACCCTCTCATACCTCATTTGCTCCCTGTATCTCTCATATCCCTGTTCATCCCCATTGTTGGTAGGTGCTGTTGAGTCGTTTCCAACTCATAATAACTCCACATACAACAGAATCAAGCTGCCCAGCCCTGCGCCAGCCTCACAATCGCTGGCTTTGAGTCCACTGCTTTAGTTGCTCTCTTGGTCTATCTCGTTGAAGCTTTCCTCTTTTTTGCTGACCCTCTGCTTTACCAAACATGATGTCCTTCTCCGGGGACTATTCCCATTTGCCCAATACAGCCTCCCATAGCTCTGTTTACCCCTGTACCTCTTCATATCACCGTTCACCCACTCATACGCTGTTCATCTCAGGACCTCTCATATCGCCATTCACCCCTGCAACCTATCCTCCCAGCACTTGAGAGTGATAGTTGTAGGGGGTCAGGTTAGCCCCTGGGGTCCTTACCAGGAATCAGCCATGGTTGGAGTGAGAAGAGATGGGAAAATGGATGTGGCCCCTACACTGCTTTTCTGCCACTAACAGGACTAACAGCCCCATGGCTAGCAGGGGAGGGTGGGAGTGGGTGGCACAGCCCCTCCACATCAGGCTCTGTTCCTACGGGCAGGGGGTGGCCTCACCCTGCATTTGGGTTCAAGATTCCTATGAAAATTCCCAGAAGAGTGGGAAATACAGATCCAAGCTTCCATGCCCACTGTCTGATTCTAGGGGTCCTCTTTTAGCATTTCGTCCACTTGGGGCAGGGCCACAGGCCTGCCAGCCCCAGAGAGAGGTGTGAATAAGGGTACAAACCCCAAGGGGGTTTTGGCCATGGTACTTCCACCCCCATCCCCAAGAAGGTGTGATCACAGCCTCCATCCCTAGAGACCCGCCCCCTCCCCCAATACCTTGCAGAGCTGGAGGAGGCTCCACTGACCGTGAAGAGTGACATGGGGGCCGTTGTACGGGTCATGCGGCTGCCAGACTCTGGGCTGGAGATCCGAGACCGCATGTGGCTCAAGATCACCATCGCCAACGCCGTCATTGGTGGGGGCCGAGGCAGCCTGGGTGGGCTGGGTGGGGAGGGGTGGGGCTGGCCCTGATAGTTGCTGGGTATCACAGGCGCAGATGTGGTGGATTGGCTGTACTCGCATGTGGAGGGCTTCAAGGAGCGGCGCGAAGCGCGCAGGTATGCCAGCACCATGCTGAAGCACGGTTTCCTGAGGCACACGGTCAACAAGGTCACCTTCTCAGAGCAGTGCTACTACGTCTTCGGGGACCTGTGCAGCAGTGAGTGGGCTGGGGGCTCGGGGGACCAGGGGGCTGGGGCCTGCCTGCCACCCCCCTCCCACACACTCACCATGCCTCTCCCTGCCAGACCTTGCGGCCCTGAACCTCAACAATGGCTCCAGTGGGGCCTCGGATCAGGACACCCTGGCCCCGCTGCCCCACCCAGCTGCCCCTTGGCCCCTGGGCCAGGCCTTCCCCTATCAGTACCCAGGGCCCCCACCCTGCTTCCCACCAGCCTACCAGGACCCGGGCTTCAGCTATGGCAGCGGTAGTGCCGGCAGTCAACAGAGTGAAGGTGAGACCCCCCCACCTGGGCTGCCTGGCCTCTCACTGCCCCCTCGCTGCCCCCACCGCCTGGCTCTGTCCCTGCCTGCCTCTGCTGCCCCTCAATTCCTGCAGCTCTGTGCTTGGGCCATGGGTGGGGCCCTTCTGGAAGGGGCGAGGGCCAGGGTGACCCGGGAGCATGGGTCTCTCTAGCCATGGTTAGTGTGTAAGGCAGGGATGACCTGGCCAGGGGAGGGATGGTGGGGGGCAGGGGGGGACCGGAAGGAGCAGAGAGCATAGGGCTGGCAGACAGCCATGGGGAGGTGCACCTGGGGGGTCCCTCAGGAGCCACACAGGTAAGGGTATATGGGTGGCAGAGACATAAGCATGAGCCAGGGCCCGGGGTCAGTCCTCCTCTAAGTCATTATCTGGGCTGACCCAAGGACACAGAGGTGAAGACACCACTGTGCCTGTGGCATGTGCCACCTGGTGGGGTGTGGGGAGGGTTCATGGCTGTGTTAGCAGCTGGAAAGTCAGGGAGTGGGTAGCAGGTGAGGACAAGGCCTGATGGGACAGAGACCTGAGGCCAAGTGGGGGAGAAGGGAGAGGCAGCTAAGGAAGGTGTGTGGGACTGTGTGTGGAACCTCTGTGGTTGGGGGGCTGGGTGTGGGCGTATGCAGCCCTGGGACAGTGTGGCCTGGAGTGGCCTCGGTGTATAACTTGTGCTATCCCTTGTTTTGTGCTGAGCAAGCGTTAGACTGAAGCTCTAGAGGAGAGGACCCTCAGGGCCGGTAAGCCAAGGGCCCGCCCGGTGTCCCTCTCGGCGTCCCTGTCAACATGATCCTGGCTGGCCCATATCCTCAGGGTCCCTCCCCCTGGGAGCCCGGGATGGGGCACTAAGCAAGGCGGGTATAGCTGGCCAGGACCCCAGGGGGGTGAGGTGAAGGGTGGGCTTTAGAATGGGGTGCCAGGAGGGTATGCTAGGGTCATCACTATGCCTCTGTTTCCCAGCTGCAAGACTGAGCACTCAGGTGGAGTGAGGTGTGGGGCGCTGTGTGGCCCACCCGTGCTGCTGCTCCCCTGCTGAGATGCTTTCCTGCCTCCCTGGCTGGGGCCTGCCCTGTGTCTCTGCATGGCTAGGACCCTTCCCCATGACCACCCGCCTGGATCCCGTGGCTGTACTGGAGGTGCCAGGCCCAATCCTGACCAGCTGTTCCCACTCTTTCCATCCCTAGGAAGCAAGAGCAGCGGGTCCACCCGGAGCACCGGTGGGAGCAGCCGGCGGGCCCTGGGGCGTGAGCAGGAGCGCCGGGTGGCTGGTACTGGGGGGAGCGGCAGTGAGCTGGACCCCACAACACCAAGTGGGGTGGGCAGCTGGCGGGAACGCCCAGCCAGCCAGCTTAGCCACAGCAGCAGCCCTCGAAGCCAGGCTTCGGCCGTTGCACCTGGGCTGCCTCCCCTGTGTCCCTTGGCCAAGGCATACTCGGCAGTGGGTGGGCCCCCTGGGGGACCACCTGTGCGGGAGCTGGCCTCAGTGCCCCCTGAGCTCACAGGCAGCCGCCAGTCCTTCCAGAAGGCCATGGGGAACCCCTGCGAGTTCTTCGTTGACATCATGTGACCGACGGAGAAAGTGCCTTTAGCCCTGGCCCAAGGGAGGGATGGTCCTGTCCTCTTCATGGAGCATCACCTAACCACCTGTCTGGGGCTATGTGTGTGGGCTTGCCTTAGTGACAGCCAGGCCTGAGATGGCTGCCTGTGCTTTCAGTATATGGGACAGGGTGGGCAGGCCTGGATGGGTGGGACAAGGCAGGGTGGGGGAACATCATCATCTGGACTCAGTGTGCCATCTGCTCCCAGGTCTCTTCCTCTAATGAGGGTAAACCTTGGGTCCACAAGACTTTAGTCAGAGCTGGGAGGCCACCCAACCTCAGGCAGGTCTGACCTGCCCACATTGGTATGGCCTTCCCACTCCTTTGTCTGGAGCTCCCTAGGGTGATGCAGACTTTTGGGTCCCCATGCTGATCCACACACACCCAGTGGCAGCACAGACCCCTCCACTCTGTCCACTTGGCCCAGGCTGAAGGACCTCTTGGGGGTGGGAATCAGAGCCATCTATGGTTGTCCAGGGCAAGGATCTAATTTATTTATTTATTGCCTGTCCCTGCACTCCAGAGAGGTGACTGGCCAGCCCCCAGTCCAGTCAGTAGGAACAGGTTTGCATGTTCTGCCTGCCCCTTACCTGCACACAGGAAGTATCTGAAAGTGTAGAGGAGGAAGGAAGAGCCAGCTCAGCTTGGGAGTGGGGGTGGTTGGGCTAGGATGGAGGGGGAACATGATCCTGAGGGGCTGGGACTGGGGAAGGGGAGCGGCCCCAGGTGCCTGCCTACATACCACCTTTCCCGTGCTGTAGATATTGTATCAAAGTTCAAGAGTCTGGATAGTTAATATATAGCTGCTCCGTGTAAATGCTGCTTCCATGTAAATGCTATTTTAAACACTAAAAAGCGTTTAATTTTATGGGACTAATGTGGTTGTGTTCCTCTTTCTGGTGGCTGCTTTAGGAGATGGGGTGCAGGGTACCAAACAGTACCCCTGAGCCCAAGAGAGCTGACCCCAGGCCGCGGCCAGCCAGGACACAGATCTTCTAGACTCTGTCCCGGGCACTGGCCACTGCTGGGGTCCTGGCTTGCGGCTGTCAGTGCTGTTGGTTCCTGACTCTAGGGGTCCGGATAGATGGTGCTGGCCATGGTGCTGACCCCCCACTGCTTGGGCTCTGTCCATGGTACTGGCATCCCTGTTCCACCCAATCGGGTCTCAGGAAGAGGAGGATGCTGGTACCATTCCTCTAAGTGGCATCTACCCTAGGACCCCTGGCTGAGGGTGGGCCAGTGCAACTGGACCATACCAGGCCAGCAGCTAGTCTCAGCAGTTTTCCTCTCCTCCAACAAAGCTCATAATTACTGACATAAGACCAATGAGCTCCAGGCTGGGAACTGCTAGACAGACCTTCAGCTGTGGCCTTCAATGGCCTTGCTTGGGGCTTTCCTAGACCACTCCAGACCTCAAGGCCTCACTCAGAATGTAGGGCTGGGCCACTCAGCAGAGCAGACTTGACTCATGCAGGGCCTGGATCTCATGGGTTAACATCAGCTGTAAACTTGGGGTTAAAGCCTAGGGCTGAGGGTTGTGGCTTGGGGACTCACGGTTTGGGGGGGTCTCCTGGGTTGGGGTCACTGGGGATGAGCTCGCAGGGTCTGGAAGCACAGACTCTTGATTTTCCTGAGTTTCCCCCACACTCCAGGGCCCCTCTTTCAGGAAGAACTCAGGTGTGTTGAGTGCTGGGTACCACAGCAGCAAGTAGCACTTGGGTAGGTAGACAGCAGCCAGGATGCCCAGGGCACAGATGAGGATGGCGCCCATCTGCACAGCGGGTTGGTAGGCTATGTGCACATTGGTGAAAAGAGGCACGAAGGAGATCCAGGTGATGAAGTAGGCCAGTGTGGCGAAGGTGAGGCCTCGCGCATGGTTGTAGCGGCCAGGCCGGCTCTGCACCAGAAAGGTGCACAGGAAACACAGGAAGGCCAGTGTGGCATTTGTGGCATGCACTAGGCCAAAACTGAACCAGGAGCGCACACGGCAGTGCACCAGTGCCTCTTGGGGCAGTGCTCGCCAGTCGGTCACCACCTTGGGTGGGAAGGCCACCAAGTACCAGGTGCACAGTCCTGCCTCTGCCAAAACAGCCAGCAGCACCACAAGCCAGGTCCCTGGTCCCCGAAGCCAGCCCTGTAACCTCCCCATCCAGCTCAGCGGCAGCTCTGACTCCACAAATGTCTCGGCTGCCTGCAGAAAGAGAGTGCTCAGACAACCAGTCAATGGCAAATGGGATAGTGGCTGTTGAACTAGGCAGCTGGTGGGGTTGGGCCACCCAGGGAACAGGAGCACGCTGAGACAGACCAGGTTCAGGCAGGCCAGGCCAAAGCAGGTCAATGGCCCACCTGAGGCCTGCACCATCGGGCTGTCCCAGTGGCAGATGAAGAGCCCCAGGGCCACCAGGGCCAGGCCTAGTACCAGGCTTAGCAGAATGAGCAGCCCCAGTGTGGTTGGCTCCCCCCATGCCAGGAACTTGGGCCTGCGGGGGAAGCAACGTGTGCTCCGGTCTGGGGACCACTGGTCCAGGCTACATTCAGTGCAGAAGAGGTCATCTGCAAGGTGGGAAGGAAAGAAGAGTGGTGGGTCATCAGGTACAGCTTCACACATCCATGGGCTGGGTGAACATGAGCCCACACATGTCAAGACCCCTAGGCTGCATATATCTACCCTGCCTCTGGCCGTGTGGGGACCCAGCTCAGCTGGGCTGTGTCTTCCTATACCACTCCACCTCCTGCCAGCCATGTGGGGGCAGCTCACCTGGCCTGTGTCTGCCCACTCTACTCCAGCTGTGTGGGGGCCCAGTGCACCTGGCCTGTGTCTGCCCACTTCACTCCAGCTGTGTGGAAGATCAGCTCACCTGGGTTGCGCCTGTAGGTGCCAGCCTTGCAGTCCACACAGTCATAGCAGCAGGAGTGGGAACCCTTCACACGGCGTACCTGGCCCTCCGTGCACTGCCGCGAGCACCGGGACACTGGGTCCTGGGGCAGCACAGCCAGTGACCACCCCCACCTCCATCTGAGAGCTTCACCCCCAGCAGTGCCCACCCAGTAAGTGGTATGACCTGAGTGCCTACTGGGCTGGGCTTCCATGGCAGCTGGGTGCTGTGCCCAGGCAGCCCGAGACCTTGTGAAAGGTATGCAGAGCGCTGACTCACCTGGTTGCCTGGCGTGTGCCACGTGATCTGGGAGTTGTGGACCTGGAGCCGACCATTGAAGGTGCCCACAGTGTGGAACTTGGGCTCCCCGCCCTGCCATACCCACAGCTTCAGGTCGTACTCCATAGCCACGTTCCCGTTGGCATCGAAGGCCAGCTCCAGGCCTCTGACCCGGAAGCTCATGTTGTACATCCTCTCCAGGAGCTGGGCAGGGTCAGTGAGATGGTGGGTAGAGTCTAGAGCCACCCACCTGCCCAGACCCCCTGGTGCCAGCCAGATGGTGGCTCACCTGCCAGGGCTGCACGGCCTCACGTGCTGGACAACCTGAGGCGTTGCAGTGCAGCGTGTTGTGTAGAGCCTGGGCCACGCTGTACACAGCCGCATAGGCAGTAAAAATCTGGTGATGCAAGAGCCCAGCTGACACGTTCTGTATCGTGATATGATCGCACTGTGGGCAACGTGGCCCTACCACATGCTCCTCTAGACCCAGCTCCGTAGCATCCAGTGAGGCACAGAAGGCTGGGTTGGCAGCCTGGGACAGGTGGGTGGCCACGTATTCTGGGTACTCGGGAAGTTGGGCACCACGCATCAGAAAGCCAAGCACGGTGCCCACCCGGTCAATGCCAGGCAGCGTGGTAACCAGGTCAGAGGCCAACCAGGCTTCACTGGCCACCCATACCTTGGGCTCAAGTTGGCTGTGGACACTGTAGCTGAAGAGGGCATGGGCAGCATGGGCAGAGGCAAACAGCACCACCACCTGCACGTTGCTCTGGTTCACTACCTGCAGCAGCTTCTCCACTTGGCCCAGTGATGTGCGGTGGCCTCGGGTAACTGGTACCAGGCCCTCATGCGCGATGCAGATGCTACGGGAGCTAGCCAAGCTGGAGAAGATACTCAGGCCCTGACGGCCATACTCGTCATCGCTGCCCACAGCTGCCACCCAATTCCAGCCAAATGTCACCAGCAACTCCACTATGGCTCCCAGCTGCACACGATCACTGGGCACCGTGCGGAAGAAGGACGGGAATGTCTCCCGGTTGCTCAGCCGGTCTGTGCTTGCCCCGTAGCTGACCTGAGGGCCCAGGAAATCTGTGAGGGGGTGCCATGTAGGGTGGGGGTGGGGTGGAGGTTGAGGACCAGGTGATGGCCGCACCTGGGGCATGAGGAAGAAGCTGAAGAACTTGCCAGTGACCAGGGCCAGTTCCGAGGAGTGGGGCCCGATGACAGCCAGCACTCGAGGCTGGTACTGCGTGTAGTTGCAGTAGGCGGCAATGTTGAGGCTGCCTGCCTTAGCCAGGAACACTAGGCAGGGCTTCATGGCTACCACTGGCTCTGTACATGTGTCGAACAGGTCGTACCCCAGACGTAGTCCTGGCAGCAGGTCTGAGCCATTGTTGATCTCCTCCACCGCCATCTTCACAGCCAGTGCCCAGAGCAGGCCGAGGGCTGAGAACCTGAGGCATGCAAGGCTGAGAGCACTGGACCAGGGAGCCTCCACTGGCTGCCCTGGGCTAGCTTTGGGTCCCAACCAGGTCCTTGTTCCACCCGCCTTGCTCTGGACTAGTCTGAGTCCCTAGCCTGGTCCCTGCTCCACCCTGGGTTGGCCCTGGACCCCTGCTCCATACCTTCTGCATGCAGTGCTGTTTGGCTGTGTCCTGTCCCCAAGGCCAGCACTCTCGGCCGAGCTCATAGGGAAGAGCCCGCCCAGCATATAGTCACCTTGCACCCTGAACTGGCGTGACAGGCACAGAGGGGCTCCCACTTCACCGTCTGGAAAAACCATGAGGCCCAGGAGAGCTGATACGGTGAGGCCCAAAGGAATCAGGCCAAGCATAATGAGCAGGCAGCCTCCAGCAGGGGCAGTGAGGATGTACCCAGTGGAGACCAAATATAGGGAGTCCAGGGAGGGGGTGCAGATTTGTTTAGCAAAACTCTGCTGTCCTCACTTGCAAGGCCTCTGGGACAGGGACATTTTCATACTTCCTTGGCTGACCCTGCTGCAGGTTTGCACACAAGACAGGGCTTTATTCTGATGCCACTAATGCCAGGTGACCTGGGGAAGGGAGGCTCTGAACATCAGCTGTCCATGAAGCCACCCAGCTGACCACAAGAGGCTTTTGAAAAATAGGAGCATCTCAGAAAGAAACTTGTGGTTTCCACCTGTGGAAGCAGCTCAGAGGTACTGGGGGTGGGGAGGCTTAGTCTCCCCAACCCTAAGTCCGAGCTGTAGGAGGACGGCCTCAACATCAAGCCAATGGTCCCTCTAGACCTGCAGAGGAGCAGGTAGCTGGGGGACAGCAGGCTGGGAAGGTCTGAGGGCCAGCCCACTTGGGTTTGTCTGTGGGGCAGGTGTCAGCTGGCTGGGCCCTGGCCTGTTACGGGCCATCTCCTCTGGGACAGAGCTCACAACTGGGCTTGAGAAGGGATCCATGCAAACGAGAGGGGAAAAGCCACAATCAAATGGGCCAACGCAGCTGTGCTGGGGCACAGGCTGGGGGCTCCACTGGGTGCATGTGTACCTGCCCTAGGGAGACAGGACCACTGGGGAGGGGCCCCAGCAGCTCCTCTGAGCCTATGGATACCTTCCTGCCTGGATCTGTGAGGTGCAGATTCCCTGACATGACACCCTAAACCCCCAAGTGAGTGTGTGTCAGGTCGAGCACAGGAGCCTATAAGACTGACCGGTAGAGGCCCTGTGGGTGTCTGATGAAGTGACCCTGCTGCAAGGATCCCAGTGATTTCAACCTAACCAGCTCCAGCAGGTGTTGGTAGGGGCTAGCCTGGGCCATTCCCCACCACCCTGCCCTATGAGAGGCAGGTCCCACTGTGCATGTATGTGTCCATGCATTCATAGGCTCACATGTACTAACCACTCCCCATGAATAGTGCACATACATGCCTACAACCAAGCTCTCACCACATGAATAACCGTATGCACACCCATGGATACACACCCTTTCTGGATCGGGGACACCATCCTGGACCCTTCCATGGTTACCCACCACCAGGCCCCTTTTACTCCCTCCCGGGTCCCTCAGGCCCCTTCCCACTTGGTGAGCAGGTACCCTGAGTACCCCGACACTGCCGTCTGCAGAATTAACCAGTCCAATAAAAATGATTTATTCAGACTGGGAAGCCCACCACATATTACACATTTCCAAGTCAAGTCCACCCGAACGCTTTACTGTGCACATGTACACCACATGCACTGTCCCTGAGTCTGAGTCCTGGACCCACTGTGAGCAGAGTTGCCAGGAGAGGCTGCCTGCCTGACTTAAGGATAGCAGGTCCAGGACCCTCCCTGGGCCAGGCCCCGGCTGGCCTGCTGAGCACTGTGTTGGGGGCAGCAAAGAACGGCAGAGGAGATGCAGCATCTCAGGGAGCCGGGGCAAGGGGACACCTTGGCCTAACAGCATGCAGCTCCCAGGGGCTTCAGGGCTGTGCAGAGGACAGGGGAGTGCCAGGGGAGGGGGGCACCAGTTGTGTCCTTGGAGCTGACACATCTGCAGGGGCATGGAGGGAGCTTCAGCTCCAGTTGTCACCCTGGGTCCAGGCCTATTCAGCACTTGGAGCAGTGGATCAGGCGATGTGGGTGGAGAGCAGCCCACGGGGCCCAGACTGCTGCCCAGGGTCCTTCTCCTCACCCTGGCCACAGGGGCTGCTTAGCAGCACTCACTGTGGCCTGAGTAGGAAGGACACATACACCTGTGGTGCTAAGGCAGAGGGGCCTCTGAGCTCCTATGACTAACACTTCACAGGCCCAGGCAAGTAGGGTTGCGGTAGTGAATGCTCCCCCACTTTATCCCCTACTGCCTGTCTACTCTCAGCAACTCTTGGAGCCTGGCAGAGCAAATGCCTGCTGAGATGCCAAGGGAACAAGGGATGATCCGGCCTGATCAGGACGTCGCAGGGGCAGACGGCCAGCGCCTGCTTCTCTTTCGGTTTGCACCAGGGTGGAGGAGGGCACAGCTGAGAGGACCCACACAGCCCTCCCTGCTGCACTAGGGGAGGTTCAGCAGCGCCTGCTCTTCATACAGATGCTGGGTGATGTTGTAGACACGCTCGAGGAAGGGCAGTACCTCCCCCAGCATCTCTACTGCCTGCTCTGGTGGCCCCACCTTCATAGCCTCCAGGAAAACCTTGCGTGTGGGCAGGGCACAGAAGGCCATGGAGACGGCCTTGCGCACGACCCAGGGGTGGTAGGTGGCCAGTGAGGCATTGTAGGAGTCGGTGCAGAGTACAGAAGTGCGGGCGTCCTCGGGACTGGCCCGCAGTCCCTCCAAGAATAGCTGTAGCCAGCGCAGAGCGCGGTGTAGCCGCAGCACAGTGCGACAGCCTGAATTGGGGTGGTGAGCACGCTGCTGCAGGTCCACCAGCTGGTGGCCCACCTCATAGGTCACCATGGACTGCAGGGTGGTGTAGTGTTCACCCTGTGGGCTTCTGCACAGTTGATCCATAATCTGCAGCTTTGCCACCACATCCTTGGAGATGAACATAAAGATGGCGCCCAGACTGTTCAGAAACCTGCTTAAGGGAAAGCTGTGGCTCAGGTTGTGCCTTCCAGGGCCATCTGGGGCAGGGTCTGTAGTGCCTCCCTCCCACCAAGGCTATGAAGGCAGGAAGGAGCCCCACCCTTGGCATGGATTTCAGGTGCCTCCCTCTAAAGAAAGCAGGTGCCGCCAGCCTTAGCACCCAGCTCTGTCCCCAGCCTGGTGCTTATGGGTACCTGCAGAAATGCAGGAATCAGAGAAGTGAATCTTAGACCAGGAAAGTCCCGCCCCAAGGCAGTCCCTTGCCAGCTCTGAGGAAGGAGGCCCATCTGGGGATGTGGCCAGCTATGGGGGGCCTGGCATGGGCACGTACTTCACCAGCCCCCGCCAGCCACTGAGATAGTGGTCCATCAGGATCTCCTCTTTCTCATTGAGGCACTGCTTGAAATTGACCATGACATCTCTCAAGTTGAAGTCTGCCTCTGAATCATCCATTTTCAAGAGAAACTGAAACACATGAAGGTCGCTCTTAGTCTGCTCATTCTGCAGTTTTCTTTTTAGGAGGGAAAGGGGTAGAAGGCGTTGGAAAGAGCTGGGATCACCCACTCCCTGCTCAGAGCCCTGCAATGGTGCCCCACCCCCAGAATCATTCCGGAGGCCAGTTTATCTACCTTCCAGATATGCACCAGCCTTGATGTCTTTGCCCTGTTGTGCTCTTGCCTGGCACCTCTGTCCACAGATCTTCATCTGGGTCTCAGCGAGGCTGTTCCTGACCACCTACCCAATGTGGCAGACTTTCCAGGTTTCCTCAGACCCCCTAGGTTTCACCGTGTGGTACAATCTAGCTGCTATCCTACTTACCTGCTTATTTGCCAGCTATCTCTCACTAGAATATGTGTCTATTCTTAGTACTGGAGGAACACTTATTGAGACCCTACCAAGGACCAGAGCTTTCCCAGGCGCTTGAGACCTGTTGTGGACAGGGGATCCCTGTCCAGTTGAGATGATATTCTAGTGGAAAGAACAAATGACAAGCAGTAAACACAGGAGATTCTTACACAGGGCATAAGGTGGTGAACCGTGAGGAAGGAGGAGCAGAGGAGTGAGGCAAGAGGCAGAAGTCAGGCAAGAGGGCAATTGGGCAGCCTCCCTCTGTCCTCCATCACCTTGGCACCCCCAGTGCCAGAGCAGTGCTTGCAGAACTGTGTCTGTTGGACGGACAGGTAGACATCCATCTTTTCACTCTCACTAATGAAATTGTACATGTTCCACATAGGAGGGCGGCAAGGCCAAAGATCTTACTGCACTCTGAAGGCATGTTCTTCATCAAGTCCCAGGGAACTTGCCAGAAGTATCCACAGACAGAAGCTGTGAAGAAGGCACCACTTTGAACCCCGCACACATGTACACGTCATTCTATAACACTCAAGTTTCACACAAGAGCAGGTGCCACTGGACACTTCATTTCCTGCCTCCTTGGGTGCATAACCCCAAGGGCCTCAGTCTAACATCTGAGGCTAACTATAACAGAGCCTGAAGACGCAGCCACATGTCACCTTGTGTCTAGGACAAACCTGTGCCTGGAGGTGCCTGTGACCCTCAGTGCCTGTAGCCCTGACCTAGCCTCCCACCTCTTCCCCACTGTGGGACCTCTGGCATGAACAAGGCCAGCTGTGATGAAAGCCCCAGCTGGGAGGGCACTTGGATTCCTGTTTTGCTTCTCTCTCAGTAGCCATTTCTTCATCTCTGGAGAAAAAGGGGTCAGCATGCCCTGCCCTGCCCTGCCCATTTCTAGGCTCCTGGTTGTGTATGGGGACAGGAGTAGGTGTTGAGGCCCGCCAGGCCCCACAGGTTCGACCACATGCCTGGTTCTGGGTAGAGTCCTAATAGATGAGCTCACTACAGTTGTTGAGCCACCAGAGGTGAATTCACTATGGAATCTGGAAGATGGTGCCCCAAGACTTTTGGCAGCACCCTGTTCAAGACCCCAGTTCTTTGTCCACTGAACAGATGGCTCCTTCCTGGTCATTAGACATCCTTCCATTAAGTCTTCCTTCCCAGGATCCAGCCTTAAGGAGCTGCCAGTGAGTGTTTCAAAGATGTCCATCTGTGATATAGTAAAGGTGGGCAGCCTGCCAGCTCTGGGAAGGTGATTGCAGATGCCCCACCCAACTTCCCCAAGGGGCAACTGCAGTCTGAAGGCCAAGGCTGGGAGGGAGGGCAGCCTGGGTACAGGAGTTCTGTGATTGGTAGCAGGCTGGAGTCCAAGCCGGAGAGCGAGCGACCTTGCACCCACGTCTACGGGTGGGAGCGGGATCCCTGTTCCGGGAGTCTGTCACCTGGGAAGGAGACTGGGGAGACACCAGGCCTGCGAGTCAAGGCCCAGGGGTCCTGCTCCAGCTGAAGGCACCAGGATGGGACGGAGGCTTGGGGCGGTGGTGGTGGGGTCATCTAGGAAACCAGTACTCAGGCGCTCGCCCCGCCTCAGGAAAAGTGCATCCTCCCCTCTGCCTCTAGGACCCAAGCCTACCTCCTCCAAGACTCTAGACCCGCCTCAATCGGTTCGGTTGGGATCAGTCTGCCCCGCCCCACGGAGCCGGGCCAGAGAGCTCACCTCTGCCACCGCCGCAGTAGACTCAGCCGTCTGTGACTCTCGGGCCCGCCCCGCTCGCCTTGTTCACCTCCGGGCCGCCGTCGCCTATTCGCGATTGGCTGTCGGGCGCCCAATCAGAAGGCCCAATGGGCCCATGTTTCCGATGAGCGGACTAGTAGGTAATGGGGTTGGATTTTGCGCCTGCGCAATGCGCCTCCGCGCGTGGGGTTCCCGCAGAGCTAGCTGTCCTGGCGGTCCGAGGTTTAAGTTCGCGGGCGGTGAGGGTCCCTTGGAGCGCGGGGCGGTGGGATTTCCTTAGTGAGCGCCGAGGAACGAAGCTCGCGCTTCTCCCGGGGGGCGGGGGCCCGCGCGCCCTCCAGCCACTTCTCTTCCTCGGTTCTTTGCCAGTTGAAGCTCCTGCGGGACCCCGAGGACGGGGAGGGGATTAAGGTGAGGCGAGTCTCCCTGACCCGGCCCTGCACGTGCCCCAAGCCTGAACGTGTGCCCTTTGAAGATGCCGGAGATCAGAGTTACCCCCCTGGGTAAGCTCGAACCCGCCGTTAAGAGGGATTGAAGGAGGTTGGCTTGGGACTCAAATTGATAGCAACCTGTTGCTGGAACTGCCCTGACCCAGCCACCTTGGGACTCCTTCATCGGTTTTCACTCTTCATCATCACCACAACCCTGGGGATTAGGAACTCTTATACCCATTGTAGGGGCTATGTAGCTGCTTCACAGAACGAAGGCCCTGTGACCTATTCAAATCCCCAGTCATCACTGAGAATTTGGAACCCGGGCAGCAATTTTCCCATTGCTGTACTGCCGCCACGTGGGTCCCAGGTTCTAGACTCCTTTCCTAGTTGCAGCCTCGTTGGACTCTTAGATCTGTGTTGTGAGGAGATGGCTGCATGCTGTTTCCTCTGTTTTGGTGAGGACACTGAGGCCTGGATGGGTCCCCAGCCTGAGGTCGTTCTTGCAGGGTGTGAACAAGGGTCCTGACTTTTTTTGGGGGGTGGGCTACTGCTCCTGGTGCAGGCCCTGTGGAGAGTGATTCAGGGACAGGATTTAGGCTTGGATGCTGGCCTGCGAGTATCAAGTATTCATCTCCCTGTGTTTGTACTGACCGTGAAACAGGTGTGAGCCTACCTCATCTCAGAAGGCTCAGGGGTAAAGTGCTCACCCACACTTGGCACAAAGTCCGTCCTCAGCAGATGTTGCATTGTCTCTGCACCACTCAAGAGTCTCCCCCACCCCTGTGACCTTACAGTCGTTTCACTTGCCAATGAGTGTGCCTCCTCTTGTATGTCCCCTGATCCATCAATTCTCCTTTGTCCCCACCTTTCCTTCCTCACTTGGTGCTCAGCTGTCCACACTGCGCATTCTGTCTTACAACCTCTCCATTTGGTGCTGCTCGTGCCAGGCTCACTGTGGCTCCCTGTTTACCCAATACAGCCGTCAGTCCTCAGTTCAGCAACATGTAAAAAAAGAGAAAAAAGCTTTATTTTCTGTACAAATACATACGCATGTTTTTAAAAGTACTAATTGAAGTCGTGGTGTGGCGCTGCAGGTTAATGCGCTGGACTGAAAGGTTGATTTGAACCTTAGGGTCAGGAGTTCAAGCTTACCAGCCATTCCTCAGAAACCCTGTACAGGGTCTCTACGAGTTGGAATTGGAATAACAATAATAATAGTCGTTCCTGGACTGTATGAACAGTTAATACACACAGCTGCTAAACACAAGGTTTGAGGTTTGATTTCTTCCAGAGGTACCTTGGAAGAAAGGCTTGGTGATAAACTTCAAAAGTGTCAGTTATTGAAAACTCTATGGAGCACAGTTCAACTCTGACAAACCCGAAAGTTGCTGTGAGTCAGAATTGATACTATGGCAGTTGGTTTAACAGTACTCAGGAGAAAAAATTCCCTCAAACCCAGGATCCCAGAAACCGGTGGGGTCATACTCTTGATGCCTGGTGCCATAATGGTAGCTGCCTCCTTGCCTGGCGGTGTGTGAGGCCATCCTCCATGTCACTTCCCAGAGCAGTGAGTTCCTCATCCGTGAGCCCACCCACACCCTGGCACAGACACTGGACTTGGCTCCAAGACTTCTCCGTGTTGCAGCTGTTGACAGAGCCACAGCAAATGTCCTAACCCTGGCCACCAGGGCAGAGTGCTGCCCCACCCTTCCAGTGCCTTTCGGCAGCTGCAGTGTGGGGTCTCCTCAGCCACTGCAGCCCACACTCTCCCCTTTTACTCTCTAGAGGTCTCTGGTCTTCCTGTCTCCTGCCCCCATCCCAGTCTGCCCTTCTCCTACTCAACCTGTTCTTCCTGACAGTCCTTTCTTATGGCTTCAGTTACCATATGTGTACCCCCTAAGATACCTCATCACCATCAAACACCACCCCCTCCTGCATTTCTAGGCTGGCATCCAGCATCCCAGGCGTTCCCAGTGTTGGGCCTGTGTGCTGCTCCCCTGCCTTGGCTCCCCCATTCCCTAAAGTCATCTCAGGTGGACAACTCTGTCCACCACCACCGCCCTGTGCCCCCACTGCTCCTGCACCATCTCACTCTGCTACTCACAGCTTTTGCTATCAGTATAGCTCTTGTTAGAGTACATTGTCCTGGAACACGTGTGGACAGGGATTTCCCTTCTCTTTGTTCCCTTGTAAATGAGTTCTGCCTGCCCATATGCCCCCAGACTCTTGTTGCTCCTCACTTAGCCCCAAGTGGTGCTGTGGGTTTATGTGCTAGACTACAAGGTCGATTTGAACCACAAGGTCGGCAGTTCAAGCTCACAGAAACCCTGTACTCGGTCGCTGTGAGTTGAAACAGACTCATTGGCACATAACAGCTACTGGGAGATAGGACAGCTGTTCCTCTGAGCCAGGCTCTAGGGTCAGAAACCAGGCCCTGACCCATCAGGCACTGTGTAGCTGCAGATCCCAGACCTCGTGGGGCCTCAGGTCCTGTATGTGACAGAACTGCTGTTGGGAGGAGACAGGTCCACAGCAGGACTCAGTCTCCAGCAGGGGCACAGCAGACTTGTAGGAAGACTTCAGACCTGTGGGGTGGGGGCAGGGCTGCTATGGCCTGCTGTTGTCATGGGTCACGGTGGCCCAACAGAGGAAGGCACTTGGGATTCCAAGGGAACATTGTCTGCTGTTGTCAGACACTGCTGAGGGTCCCTTCCTGGTGGACCCTCAGACTCAGAGCCTATGGGTGGGGTTGCTGCTGTTGCCTGGTGTGGAACGTTTGTTTTGCAGCCAGGAGTAGCCACTGTGGTCACTGCCTAGACCTCGGGCACCCAGACCTCTGCCAGCTTGGGGATGGTTCTAGGAAGGCCCCATTGTACAGTCACCACTGACGGCTTTGGGGAGGGTGCTGTGGCCTTTAAGCGCTGCCTCTCTGTTGAGCCCTGGATGCTAACCATCTCCAGGCCTTCTGGAGTGTGAGCCTCAGTGGGCAGGCTGCAGCCTTCAGTGCTGAGGGGCTCTTGGCTATGTATGACCCAGTCACAGATGCGGTGGTGGTGGGCCTGGGCCCAAGCCTCTTATCTCGTTTGGAGCCCCAGCCACCCTGGTTGCTCACTGCCACCCTGGGTGACATTCCCCCACCCCTCACACACACCCATACAAAGGTTATGGTGCACTCACCTCAGAATCCAAGGGTTACATGCCAGGTGGGAGACTGCATTCAGTGTTCCAGTGGTCACATTTGCCCTGAGCCTCCATGTCCTCAGTGACTGCAGGGATTGGGGTGAGCAGGCAGCCCAGGATTTGTGAATGTGGGCAGTGCTTAGAGCCCAGTGGAGGAGGAGAGGGTGGGGGTGGTACAGAGGCATGGTGGCTCTCTTCACCCTCCCTTTCCTGAGCAGGGGCTGGCCAGGATGTGGGCCGCAGCTGTATCCTGGTTTCCATTGCGGGCAAAAACGTCATGCTGGACTGCGGGATGCACATGGGCTTCAATGATGATGTGAGTCCCATGGGCCCCCTAGAGGGCTCCATCACTTGCTTTGGCCCTGGTAGTGACGATGGACCCTTTATTATGCTCTCCCAGGCCTGGGATGGCAGCGAGGTGCAGGAAAGAGGTCATGGACTTGCCTGTCCCCTCGGGTGGGAGTGCCTCTGTTCCTTGTCCTCCTGCCCCGGGTAGCCTGCCCTGCTGCATTCAGACCCCTCTCCTTGGCATTTCCCCAGAGACGCTTCCCTGATTTCTCCTACATCACCCAGAATGGCCGGCTGACTGACTTCCTTGACTGTGTGATCATCAGGTGAGTGGCGCCATGCCTTACGGGCCCCTCTTCTGCCAACTGCTGGAGATGGTACTGTGCTGGTGTTCTCTTCGCTGCCAGGCAGGCTCCAGGACTGTGCTTGATGCCGGGAGGCCGCAGGCTGTGGGTGTCTGTGGGCTGTGCACTGGCCCAGTGCCATCCCAGTTTCTCCTTGGCCTTCTACTGACCTTGCAACCTCCGTGTTTCAAGATGTGCATGAGGACCTGTCCTCTGCCCCAGACCCTATCTCCACCTCCCACCACTTGGAGCGTGTCACCTCTGCAGTGAGGTCTCAGTAAACCCGATGTCAAAGTTAGCGACTCTCCTCCCACATTATTGTTGTTGTTAAATGCTGTCGAGTCGGTTTCAACCGATAGCGACCCTGTATAGGGTTTCTGAGAAGCAGCTGGTGAGCTTGAACCGCCGACCTTGCAGTTCAAACGGCTTTGCAGTTTGGCGCATTAACCCACAGTGCTACATTCATTTATATTATATGTAAATCCTCTGTGATTTGTGTGTTACTCTGCTAGACATGTAAATTGTCAGTTTGAGTAAGAGCATAGATCGTCTGCTGTGCTCATTCCTGCATCCTAAATCTGGTCTGCTGTGTAGCAGGCACTCAGCTCATCAAGGCAGGGAGGGAGGCCAGAGCTGAGGGGAGGAGAAGGACAGAGTGGAAGTGCCTCAGACTGAGACCCCTGCATCCCACAGCCACTTCCACCTGGACCACTGCGGGGCGCTCCCCTACTTCAGCGAGATGGTGGGCTACGATGGGCCTATCTACATGACGCCCCCTACCCAGGCCATCTGCCCCATCCTGCTTGAGGACTACCGCAAGATTGCTGTGGACAAGAAGGGCGAGGCCAACTTCTTTACCTCTCAGATGATCAAGGACTGCATGAAGAAGGTGGTGGCTGTTCACCTGCACCAGACAGTTCAGGTCAGGCCTGCATCTGTATGCCCTCAGTCACCTGGGCACCAGGGGGTTCTCGGGGCACCATGGACAGCGGTGGACAGCCCGACTGGCCTTAGACTGTTGTTGCTAGGTGCCATAGAGTCAGCTCCAACCCATTGTTGCAGCCACTGTTTCGCCATCTCATTGGAGGGTCTTCATGTTTGGTGTTGACACTCTACTTTATCAAGCATGATGTCCTTTTCTAGGGACTGGTGTCTCCTGGTAGCATGTCCAAAGTACGTGAGACAGAGCCTTGCCATCCTTGCTTCTAAGCAGTGTTTTGACTGTACTTCCTCCAAAACAAATTTATTTGTTCTTCTGGCAGTCCATGATACATTCAGTATTCTTCATCAATGGAAATGCATTGATTCTTGTACAGTCTTCCTTATTCATTGCCCAGTTTTCATATGCATATAAGGCAATTGAAAATACAGTGACTTAGGTCAGGCACACCTTAGTCCTCAAAGTGACATCTTTGCTCTTTAACACTTTAAAAAGGTCATTTGCAGCAGATTTTCCCAGTGCAGTAAGTCACTTGTTGTTTCCGTGAGCATTGATGGTGCTCCAAGAAAAATAAAATTCTTGATAACTTCAATGTTTTCTCCATTTTTCATGATGTTATATATTGGTCCAGTTGTGAAGATTTTTGTTGTCGTTACAATTAATTCATACTGAAGGCTGTATTATTTCATTTTCATTAGCAAATGCTTCAAGTCTTCTTTGCTTTGAGCAAGCAAGGTTGTTAATGAGCCTTCTTCCAGTTCTGATGCTGCATTCTTTTTCATATAGTTGAGCTTCTCAGGTGATTTGCTCAGTATACAGGTTGAGTAAGCCTGGCGAAAGGATGTTACTCTGACACACATCTTTCCTGATTTTAAACTACGCAGTATCCCCTTGTTCTGTTCTAATAACAGCCTCTTGGTCTGTGTATAGTTTCCACATGAGCGCTCAGTGAGGTGTTCTGGAGTTCCCATTCTTCTCAGTGTTATCCATAGTTTGTTACGATCTACACAGTTGAATGCCTTTGCATAGTCAATATAGTACAAGAAAACAGCTTTCTGGTGTTTTCTGATTTTAGCCAAGATCATCTGATGTCAGCAATGATAGCCTTCATTCCATGTTCTCTTCTGAATCCAGCTTGAATTTCTGGCAGTTCCTTGTCGATGTACTGCTGCAACTGTCTTTTAATTATATTCCCAGCAAAATTTTACTTCTTATTTGATAATTTCCACATTCTTTTGGGCAACCTTTCTTAGAATGGGCACAAATATGGATCTCTTCAGTTAGTTGGTCGAGTAGCTATCTTCCAAATTTTTTGGCATAAGCTGATGAGTACTTCCTGTGCTGCATCAGTTTGTTGAAACATTCCGATTGGTATTTCATCAATTCCTAGACCCTTGTTTTTCGCGAATGTCTCCAGTGCAGCTTGGACTTCTTCCTTCAGGACCATTGGTTCTTGATCATATGCTTCCTCCTGAAATGATTGAATGTTGACCAGTTCTTTTTGGTAAAGTGACTCTTTGTATTCCTTCCATCTTCTTTTGGTGCTTTCTGAATTTTTAATATCTGAGCCCAGTGTTCTTGTTAGCTGCCATCGAGTTGGTTCCAACCCATAAAGACCCTGTGCACAACACAACAAAACACTGCCCAGTCCCGAACCATCCTTTCAATTGTTACGTTTTTGCCCATTGTTGCTGCCACCGTCAGTCTATTTCATTGGAGGATTTTCCTTTTTTTCACTGACCCTCCAACTTTACCAAGCTTGATGTCTTTCTCCAGGGATTAGTCCTTCCTGACAATGTGCACAAAGTATGAGAGATGTAGTCTTGCCATCCTTCTAAGGAACAAGACAGCTTGGTTTATTCTAGCAGTCCATGGTACTTTTTAATATTCTTCACCAATGTTATAATCCAAATGCATTGATTCTTCTACGATCTTCTTTATTCATTGTCTAACTTTCACATGCATATGAACTGTACATAACATTGCAAAGAATAGGAATTCCAGAACACATCATTGTGATCATGTGAAACCTGTACATAGACCAAGAGGCAGTTATTAGAATAGAACAAGGGGATACCACGTGGTTTAAAATGGTGTGCTTTAGAGTTCTATCCTTTCACACACAGGAAGTCATTGAAAATACCCTGACTTGGGCTAGGCGCATCTTAGTCCGTAAAGTGACAAATTTGCTCTTCAGTGCTTTTTTTCTTTTTAACATTTTTTGGTGTGAATTGAGTGAAGCTTTACAAACAAGATCATCAGTTTTACATTGAACTCTTGAACACCTAAAAAGAGGTGTTTTGCAGCAGATTTGCCTAAGAAGTCCTTTGATTTCTTAATTGCTGCTATATGCGTTGACTGTCAGTGTAAGCAATATGAAGTCTTTGATTTCAGTCTTTTCTCTTATGATGTTGTGTATTAGTCCAGTTGGGAGGTTTTGCTTTCTTTACATTGAGGTGCAATGTACAGAAAACACAAGTCCTCTTTGCTTCCTGCAAGCAAGATTGTGTCATTTGCTTATCACAGATTGTTAATGAGTCTTTCTCTAATCCTGATACCACATTTTCCATATAATCTAGCTTCTCTGATTATTTGCTCAGCATACAGATTGAATAAGTATGGTAAGAGGAGACACCTTTGATGCACACCTGCTCTGATTTAAAATCACTCAGTATCCCCTTGTTCTATTTTAACAACTGCCTCTTGGACTGTTGTTCTCAATGTTATCAGTAGTTTGTTATGATCCACACAGTTGAATGCCTTTGCATAGTCAATAAAGCACAAATAAACATCTTTCTGGTATTCTCTGCTTTCAGCCAACAATATGACATCAGCAATGATGTTCCTGGCTCTACGTCCGCTTCTGAATTGGGCTTGAATTTCTGGCAGCTCTTTGTGTATGCATTGCTTGCATTGGCTTTTGAAATATCATCAGCAAAATTTTACTAGCAAATGATATTAATGATATTGTTCAATGAGTTTTGCATTTCACTGGGTCGTCTTTCCTTGGAATGGTCATAAATATGGATATTTTCCAATTAATTGGCTAGGTGGCTGTCTTCAAATTGCTTGGCATAGATGAATGAGTGCTTCTAGTGCTGCATCAGTTTCCTGGAATTTTTAAATTGGTATTCCATCAATTAGTGAGCTCTTGCTTTTCTCCCATACCTTCAGTTCAGCCTGGATGTCTTCCTTCAATACCATCAGTTCTTGATCACATGCTTCCTCTTGAAAAGGTTGAACATCAACCATTTCTTTTTGGTACAGTGACTATGTATTTTTTCCATCTGCTTTACAGTTTTCGTGTATCTTTCAATATTTTACTTATAGAATCCTTCATTATTGCAGTGCGTGAGGCTTGAGTTTTCTCTTCAGCTCTTTCAACTTGGCAAATACTGAGCATGTTCTTCACGGTTTTCTAACTCCAGGTCTTTGCACATTTCATTTTAGTGCTTGACTTTGTCTTCTTGAACTGCCTTTTGAAATTCTCTATTCAGCTCTTTGACTTCAAAATTGTTCCCAATTTGTTGTTGTTGTTGCCATTGTTGTTGTTGTTAAGTGCCATCGAGTCGGGTCCGACCCTTAGCAACCCTGTACAGGGTTTCCGAGGGTGTAAATCTTTACGGGAGTAGAAAGCCTCATCTTTCTCCCGCGGAGCGGCTGGTAGTTTCGAACCGCTGACCTTAAGGTTCGCAGCCCGATTCGTAACCACTACGCTACCAGAGCTCCTTAGGTGCTGTCAAATCAGTTCTAACTAATAGCGACCTTATGAACAATAGAACAGAACACTGCCCAGTCCTGCACCAGCCTCAGAATGGTTACACCTGAGCCCATTGCTGCTGCCACTGTGCCAGTTCATCTCCTTGGGGACTTTCCTCTTTTTTCCTACCTTCCACTCTACCAAACATGATGTCCCTACTGATAATATGGCTCAAGTATGAGAGACAAAGTCTTGCTATCCTGGCTTCTAAGAATCATTCTGGCTGTACTTCTACCAACATAGATTTGTTTGTTCTTGTAGCAGTCCATGGTACTTTTAAATATTATCCTCCAATTGTTGTTGTTAAGTACCATGGAGTTGGTTCCGACTCATAGTGACCCTGCACAGGGTTTCCTAGGCTATAAATCTTTACGGGAGCAGATAGCCTCATCTTTCTCCTGCGGAACAGCTGGTAGTTTCGAGCTGCCGGCCTTGAGGTTAGGAGCCCAATTCGTAACCACTACGCTACCAGAGCTCCTCCAATATCATAACTGAAATGCATCAGTTCTACAGTCTTCTTTATTTGCTGTCCACCTTTCATGTGTATGTGAGGCTACTGAAAACACCATGGCTTGAGTCAGGCGCCCCTTAGTCCTCGAATTGACATTTTTATTCTTGAACACTTTCAGAGATGTTGTGCAGCAGGTTTGTGTAATGCAGTACATCATTTGATTTCTTGACTGCTGCTTCCATGAGTGTTGATGGTGGGTCTGAGCAAAATGAAATCTTTGATAACTTCAATTATTTCTCTGTTTATCATAATGTTATTTATTGCTCACCACTCCAGTGGTGAGGAGTTTTGTTTTCTTTACACTGAGGTACAACCCATACTAAAGGCTATGGTCTTTAATCTTCATCAATAAGCATTTTAAGTCTTCTTCGCTTTCAGAAAGCAAAGCTGTAACATCTGCATATCACAGTTGTTAATGAGTCTTCCTCCAATCCTGATGCCACATTCTTCGTTACATAATCCGGCTTCTAGGATTATTTGTTCAGTGTACAGATTGAATAAGTATGGTGAAAGAATACAGCCCTGGTGCATAGCTCCTAATTTGAAACAATTCAGTATCTTCTTGTACTGTTCGAAGGACTCCCCTTTGGTACTGGTTCCCCATTCTCCGCAATGTTGTCCGTAGCTTGTCATGCTCCACATAGTTTAAAGCCCTTTTCAATAATGCACAGGTAAACATTCTCTGCTTTCAGCCAAGATAATCATGTCCCT